TAGCCGGGTACCCATTCCCACCTGGGTGAAGTGAGGAAAATTCGTGTAAAGTGCCTTTCCCAAGGACACAACGTCGGGTCCCTGACGAGATTCGAACCCACGACCTTACGGTTGCGAGTCCGAGAGCCTAGCCACTAGGCCGCCGACTAAATGGTTTCTTCCTAAAGACTCACTCTATTGGTGCGAGCTTGTAGGGAGAAGCCAGCTCCAGCACACTGGGCATCATGGTGAACACGCCACTGAGGATCCCGGCTATCCCGATGGCGAGTGGAATGTTGGTGGAGCGGGCAAAGTGCCCTACTAGTAGCACGGAGCACGTGTGTCCGAACAAGGCAGCGCTGGTGAAGAGGCCGCTGCGGGAGCTGTCGATGTTGAACTGTCTCTCGATGGAAACCAGCTGCAGAGATTGGATCAGTCGTTTTAGATAAGATAAGATAAGATAAGATAAGGTAAGGTAAGGTAAGGTAAGGTAAGGTAAGGAAAGATAAGATAAGATAAGATAAGATCAGATCAGATCAGATCAGATAAGATCAGATAAGATAAGATAGATAAGATAAGATAAGATAAGATAAGATAAGATGAGATGTGATGATATAAGATAGGATGAGAAAACATAAATTTTTGTTGGTCACATCCTGGCATATTGGTTTGGTGTTTTACCACACACACACACACACACACATACACACACACACACACACACACACACACACACACACACAGACAAATACAAACACACAAACACATGTGCACGCACGTGTGTTCACCCTTACACACACTCTCACACACCATCTCTCCAAACACGTCTGTGCTTATAACCATAATACCCACTTCTCCTCACCTTACCACACCCCACCCACCCCATATCATCTCACCTCACCCCACCCACCCCAACCCATCTCATCTCACCTTATCTCACCCCACCCCACCTCACCCCTCACCTCACCTCATCCCAACCCACCTCATCTCACCTCACCTTCCCTCACCTCCCCCCTCACCTCACCCCACCCCAACCCACCTCATCTCATCTCACCTTCCCTCACCTCAGCCCTCACCTCACCTCACCCTACCTCACCTCACCCCACCTCACCTCACCCCTCACCTCACTTCACCTCACCCCACCTCACCTCATCTCATGCCAACCCACCCCACCTCATCTCACCTCATACCAACCCACCCCACCTCACCTCACCTCACCTCACCCCACCTCACCTCACCTCACCTCATCCCAACCCAACCCACCTCACCTCACCTCATTCCAACCTACCCCACCTCACCTCACCTCATCTCATCTCACCTCACCCCTCAGCTCACCCCTCACCTCACCCCAACCCACCCGAACCCACCCGACGAGCTCGCCCCCATTCCATCGAACCTCACTTCACCTCACCTCACCTCACCTCACCTTTCCTCACCTCATATCATTTGTGAGGCATCGTGGTGAAATCAGGCGCTCGTCAAAATAATGAAATCAAAGGAATTGGCATTTTTTGAGCATATGGGCAATTTTTTTTCCAATTTTCTTTTTTTTGGCACAACACCTTTTATGTACATTTAAAAACACATTGTTTTGAGTGTGGATTTTACGGAAAAACATTGATTAAAACCGTAAATTTTCAGTCTCCAATGATTCTCAGACTATTGGAAGTTACCAAACTTTGGCAGCCATTTTCCGGCTCATTTTACCTCTGCAACCAGGCGACCCCGCCCTTTTTCAATAGTCAATATTTCGACTGCTATTCTACATAGATGGAATTTTTTTTTCTCCAAAAGAAAGGCAAATGAACATGCTTTAAGGTGAAACCAATAACCCCATATGCCCCAAAACTGACGAGCGCCTTATCCCATCGCGTCGTGACACATTTTATCTCATCGCCCCTCATCCCATTATAGTTATCATAATGTAACAAAGTAGCCAAAAAAATCACCTGTCCTCTCAGCGACAGCCTGGCCATCCCCGTAAAGAAGTAGGACAGACCCACCAGCGTGGCGAACATGTACAAGTTGGCAAAGGGCTGCAGCCAATGTGGCCGCCACCCGTACAAGCCGCACAGCAAGGGCTGATTCTGACGAGAAATAGTGAGTAGTAAGTTTATTCAGTGTTTAAGGCCATTGGCTCACATCACATCACATAAAACACTCATTTGATAGTAAAGTTTCCATAATGAAAAAGTACAGGTTGTGCACATATCTCTTATCATGAGTCAAACATTGCATATTGCTGTACCAGAAAGAGAAAAACATATCGTGATTATGATGATGATGATGATGATGATGATAAAGGTGAAAATATCAGAGAAAATGATGATGATGACGATGATGATGATGACGATGATGATGATGATGATGATGATGATGATGATGATGATGATGATGATGATGATGATGATGATGATGATGATGGTGATGATGATACTAAAATCTAAGTTTTAAAGTAGGTTATAATTAAGGTGCACCCTTAAGTCTTCCAAACAAATTTCCCAAGGAGATCAATAATATGTTTTCTCATTCTTATTTAGTAAATACGTATAAATATTAACAACATTATTTCGAAGTCGTCAGTAGGCTTTGACTGTAGCGGGAGTAAAAAAAAAATAATGATGCACTAAGCCCTCAGCTTTACGTTGTCATGCTAAAGGCAGGCGGGCAACTCGTCAACAATAGTGCAGGCTGTATGTTTTGTTTTAGGAAGGTTTTACAGCGTTCGCAACTGTATAAGGTCATATGAGCGCCAAGAGTGGATGCACACAGAGAAGTCTTTACAGGGAATCAGGCTTATTCTGCTCACCTCTCTAGCTTCAACAGCACAAAATCTGCTTCGATTATAAAGGCAACTCGGAAAGAGCAGTTCACAAGAGAGCGACAAACATACAAAAGAAGTAGAGGAAAATGACGATAATAAGGATGAAGAAAGAAAAAGCAGCAGTTCCCCCTATGTTGTTCCTTTACAGTATGAGCATGACATTGATAAATCAGCCCATTTGCAATTCTACTAAGCATAAGAACATGTAATATCCCCCTTTGAGAATGGCATAAAAACACTTCAGTCAGTAGCACTGCCCTGAAAAAAGGGGGGGGGGGGTGCTGGCAGGATTAGCGAAAAATCGTTAGTGGGATATACAAATTATTGTCAGTGTGAAACAAGGGAGGCAAAAGAGAAGCCGGCCCAGCAAAGCTCTTACCTGACCACCACCACCATCTGGTGTCCTGTCCTCAAATGGGTTTGTCCCATTTCTCTCGGCGGTCTCTCTGACGTCACTAGACGTCGCCGTCTGACCGGGAGTGGCGCTCCTCTCTGTGGCCCTGGAGTGATCGGCGCTGTGTGGTTTGATGGGGAGGTGCTCTGTGGGGGACAGTACGAAGTGGAGACTGTATTACCTGTATTACCTGTATTACCTGTCCTGGGCCACAACGTCATTGCACACCGGACAGGTCCATAAGTGCTCAGTTGTTCCGGTGGTGCATCAATTTTCTTCTCTAAAATATTATCTCCGTTCACCTCCTTTCCTGTTCTCTAGCACTGTTCAGTCGTCTGTCCTGGGCAACAACGTCATTGCACACCGGACAGGTCCATAAGTGCTCAGTTCCCCCCCCCCTCCCTTTTTGGATGACTTGCTCC